GATTTATGCATAATTAAATTTCAACCCTGACTTTTGAATTGTGATGTTTAAACACCTAATATTATGTAATTTTCCCTTTATTATATGCTCTAATATATGCACAAAGGAAAAATGGGCAACTTACAAGAATACAATGAAAATTGGTCCCTGTTTGAAAAATCAGTACAAAATATGGGCCTAAAAATAAATACAGCAAATTGCACTTTTAATGACGTAGAAAATATTGTCATAATCATTAAATCAACTTAAGAAAAACGATAAATAGAATGATTAGGGAAAATCCCCAAAAAAGAACCATCCAACACCATCAAAATCAAAAATCGGAACAAATTTCTTGTCTTACAGTTCACATCTACAATCAACTGCACTTCAGCTACATTTTTCCAAAGGAATTTCTTCGTAATTTCTCAAATTAAATATGCAAATAATCAACAGAAGTCCCGAGGTGAGTAATTTCTGAATTTCGATTAAAATTAGGTCAGATTTTATTTGACTATTCAATAATAGGTTATGGATTTCATAATTGCTTAGTAAACGAAAGTAGTGAATAGCTAGTTTCACATATTTATGAGCATGTTTTTATATATCTGAAGTGTTGATATATTATTAAACTATTTGAGAATTTCTGGGTTTCTGTTTCCTTTTGTATATATGAAAATTTAACTTCTGATTAATGGTTCTAATTTAGTATATGAAATTGATCAATTGGAAAGATGCATCTAAGATGTTTGTAAAAATGCAAATGCAAATATGAATTATGAATTTGTTTTGGATTAGAAAGTGCCATGCTCTGCAACTTTTTAATAAGAAGGTCACGCACTATCTAATTTGAATTTTTGTAATAGAAACATTTATACTAAAAGTTATAGAAATATTTTGAATAATTTGAGTTTCATATGAATTAAGGTAATTCATCTGAAAAAACATGTATCCATTTTTAATTGAAGGTTCGTAGTGTCAAGTATGCTCGTCATTATGGATAGATGTGACAACGGTATAAAACCATCACAAAAAATGAATGCACACAACTTTTGGAGGTTGCTACTTTTGAAGAAATTGTCATGGTGAAGTTACAAATTTATGAAACTTATAATTTTAATAATAACATTAATTTAAAAACTACCAATTATCAAAGAATTTGCTGTGATGTTTATAAAAGCATATCTTGCAAGTTGAAGAAATCAAGAATGAAACAAGAAGACAAATTATTTCAATCGTTACTACAAAAAGGAAGCCACAAAAGAAAAAAATAAAGTGTTGGGAGGTTAATGAAGCTTTTGTGTTTGAGTTGTTATTATTATTATTATTATTTTTTCGAGGATTATCTTTCATTTTTTTGCTGCTATAGAATGAAAAATACATATTAAAGAGACTTTTATACATCTGTTTTACTTTGAAACAATAATACAAACAATATATCATCTTTGAAACAGACCAATGATAAATCATGTCACCTATATAGAAATTTAACTCTAAGATATGCAAAAGTTCAATGGATTAAAATGACCTTGTAATCTCTTTATTTCTGTGCATCGGCAATCACATGTAAAGTAAGAGTTGTTTTCCCATGTGAATC